GCCAAGTGCGCCAAGCATCTTGGAGTTATGCGCGGGATCAGAGCACAAGAGGAGTCTTGGGCCGCCCCGCTAGTCAAGTTCCGAGATCGTTGCCGCTTCATTAAGTCCCTGAAGTTAGGCCTGACGATGTCTCTAGTGGCCTACAAACCGATAGCGGTCTCTGTGCTCATGTACATCGCCCAGTTCTTTCCGCCCACGGCCGACTGTTGTTGGCAAGTGCATCTCGGTCTGCAGTGGTCAACGTGCGCTCCACGGCGCGCCTTATCTGATCACATGCTGCTGGGAATGAAGGCACTGGGGGGGGGGGGGGGGGACTCGGGCCAGGTCTCTCTCCCACGAAGCTCGTGCAGCCGCATGTCGCGCCACGCTCGCCTCCTCGGTCTTTTTTTGCCTGCACAGAGAAAATTGAGGACGCGTTCGAGGACCCCGAATGCCACCTTGATGCCCATCTTCATCCAGTGTATACCAAGTCGTTCGTGATAATGATGACCCAGGACTATCGTGAGGTATCCAGAATTCCGATAGCCCCCGCTGTCTTCGAGCCTGGGCTTCGGAAGAAAATGACCAAACTTGTTCTCTCTCATCATCCCCTTGTCCCGCTTCCTGAACTTATTCAGAGACGTCTGCAGCGCTGGGTCTCGGGGGTTCCTGAAGCTGGCCAAGTTGGGGCTCCTGAAGCTCAGTCGTGTATCTCTCGACTAAAACTGGTCGGTCAACATCTTGCTCCTTTTGTTAAATTCAGTCTCTCGCGCAGCCTATGCAATGCTTGGGATACCTCTCGGAGCCGCCAGGCTTCCCTGGGGTGCAGGTTTGGATGCCAATGTGTTGCTGGCGATCAACTCGTTCATTATCTTGTTTGTTCTGTTCTCCTCGAAGTGATGCGCGCTAATCTGCCTAGGCTCCCACCGTGGTGGGGGGCGGAGGTGTTTGCTGGGCCCCTGCTTTTTCCCTTGCCTCGTGCGGAGAAGCTGTCTCCATCGCCATTGCACACGACGTATTATTAAACCGTTTAATAAACTTAGATCCGAGGGGGCCCAAAGCGCGTTTCGAGCGATACGGTTCGCGGCTGGCCGACTCCGCCTTATTTGCCGACGGGATACCAGGGCTCGGGCTCTGGCGCGGCGATAGGGTCTTCGTCGGGCGCAAGTGCGGGCGCTTCGGATGACCTTCCAGATGGGATCGGGTCTCCTCCTGCTCCTCCTCCTCTTCCTCGTCCGCGTCCTCAACCTCATCGTCGTCGTCGTCGTCGTCGTCGTCATCCGCCTCCTCCTCCTCCACCTCCTCCTCCTTTTCCTCCTCCTTCACCTCCTCCTCCTCCCCCATCCCGATCCTCCCCCCTTCTCCTTTCCGTCGTCGTCGTCCTCCTCCACCTGGTGGATGGGTCGCGGGTGGGTCGCGGGCTCTCCACCGCCACTTTGAATAAATTCGAAAACAGCCCGCCGCAGGCGCCAACAAAATTGATTTGTACACTGAGCGCGGTTTGAGTCGCAGGTTTTCCACCTGGAACGAATGCAGAAGAAACCCGCCGCAGGCGCCGAAGTTTTGGTTTGTTCAGTGAACGTCGTTTGGTTCGCGGGTGGGTCGCGGGGTTTCGACCTCCACCTGGAAGGAATTCAAAACAAACTCGCCGCAGACGCCGAACATTTTGATTTGTATAGTGAACGCGGCTTGGGTCGCAGGTTCTCCAGCTGGGACGAGCGCAGAAGAAACCCGCCGCAGGCGACGAACATTTTGGGTGGCTCGCAGGGTGGGTCACGGGTGGGTCGGGGGTGGGTCGCGGTGGGTCGCGGGTGGGTCGCACGTTCTCCACCTGGAACGAATTCAGAAGAAACCCGTCGCGGGGTGGGTCGCGGGTGGGTCGCGGGGTGGGTCGCGGGTGGGTCTCGGGGTGGGTCGCGGGTGGGTCGCGGGTGGGTCGCAGGGTGGGTCGCAGGGTGGGTCGCGGGTGGGTCTCGGGGTGGGTCGCGGGTGGGTCGCGGGTGGGTCGCGGGGTGGGTCGCGGGTGGGTCGCGGGGCGGGTCGCGGGTGGGACGGCGACAACAAACAACAAACACCAAACACCAAACAACAACAACAACAACACCAGCAACAACAACAACAACAACAACAACATCATCAACATCAACATCAACAACAACAACAACAACAACACCAACAACAACAACAACAACAATAATCCGCATCGCGGAATTCCATTTCAGCCACGCACCCAGGGACAGCGAATGACCGTTCGGTTCAGCCCCCTCACTCTGACCTCTACCCCCTCGCCCGTTTTCTTTTTTTGGGCCTCCTGGGAGGCCCTCGTCGCCGCCGCTGGATTCGCCTCGACATTCCCGTCAGAACGCACCCCAGGAGAGGTCCGGGGGGTAGCGGTATCGGTACCTTTTGGTCTCCCCATTTCCTTGGGGGGTGCTCTCTTCCTGGGGCTGGTTGCGCCTCGGTGTGAGCGTTTGGGGTGGCGCGCTGCCGAGCGGTTTGCCCGGCGGATGGCCTCGCCGGTCCGCGGAGTCAGCCCGCTGGTTGGGATTTTGGTTGATCGGGTTTGGGTGGTCGTCTCGGGATGGCCTGCCCTGCCCACGCCCTGCTGTGCCCTCGCATGCCTTCATTCGCTCCCCGATTCTTGTGATCGAGCTCCTACTGTGTCGGGTCAGTCCTCCCACCCGTACCCCACCCACTGCGTTTCGGTAGAAATTCATGGGAGCATCATGTGTCCTCGTTTTCCGCTTCTGGAGTACCTTCGCGTTCGCTAGCGCCTGATTTACCTTCGATTAGCGCTGCTTTAGCGTCGGCAAGTGTCGGCCAGCGTCGATTCGCACTAGCCAGCAAAACGGCATGGGAGGCTCCCATGAGCTGCCGCAGAAGAACTCAAAAGGATACTTGTTGACGCCTCCGTGAAAATTGGAAGGGGGACGGGTATTATTGGAACAGTAGTGAGGTTAGGTTTGTGAGATTGACCTTGAGGGGGAGTCGTAGATAGTAGAGAGGGAAAGGGATTAACAGCATAACATTCGGATTGGGCAGGAGGACAAGGGGTGGCGATGGGGATGATGAGGAGGGGGACAAGAAAATATAATAACCCGAAGCCGAACAGGTCCAGGTGCAGGGGCAATAGCAGGGGATGGCATGGCCAGAGTCAAGACAGTTCGATGGGACGGAGCCAGGAGAAGGAACGAAACGGGCGAGAAGTGATTGGAGAGGAGAAGGATAATGAAAGGCTAGAAGTAGGAGGAGCAGCAGCAGCAGGACGATGATAGTGATAGGTATAACGAGGAAGTGGACGATGCTGATATTTAATGATGTAGAGTGGGACGAAGGGTAGGACCAGTGCAAACCCAATACCCATCAACGATGTTGCAACAAACATTCCCTCCAGGTTCCATCTTCATAATTCCCTACACAGTTGATTGTCACAGAGGGAAGTGCCCCGTTGGAATATAATTGTCTGAAAGTTTGAACCGTGCCAGAACACCTTCCTGGAGACTTCAACGCCGCGAATCCACGTTATTGGTTGTGTCTTGACGGTCGTGAAGCGTGTCAGAAAACCATGTTTGGGACGTCAACACCGCGAGTCAACGTAAGTGTTGCGTTCTGACAGTCATGCATCGCGCCAAAACCATGTCTGGGACATCAACCATGATAATCCCTGAAGCTGCTATAAATCTTGAAAGCGAATGTGGGAGGCGCTACAGCGAGAGCCAATTTGTGAAAAGGTACCGCCCTCCTTCCGCGAAGCTCTTGCAAATTTTGAGGACGAATGCGCGCGGCGCTAGGGCGAGAGGCACATGTTTCAAAACCACCCGCCCTCCACCCATGAATCCCTGACAAATTCTTCGAGCGCGTGAGCGCGGCGCCACAGCGAGAGCCACATTCTGAAAACAGCCCGTCCTCCACCCGTGAAGCTCTTGCAAGCCTCCAGGAGCCACGTTCGAAAACCGGCCGCCCTCCGTCCGTGAGGCGCTCGCATGTTTCGAGCGAGTGTGCGCGGCGCTGGTGCGAGAGCCACGTTTTGGGAAGAGGCCCGCCCACGACCCGTAAGACTTCTGCAGCGTTGCAGATCCAGGTTCGTGCATAGTGAGGAAGCCTCGGACGACACGCCCGGCCCGCCCTGCCGACACGCCTCGGGGTGCGACAGGGATGAGTTATTTGTTGAGACGAGGAGTAGAGAATGACGAGGAAGAGGAGGAGAAGAAACAGAGACAGAGATGTCAGCGGAGAAGGCGGATCAGGAGGTTCGGGTGAGGAGCGGTGGGCTAAAGAGGGCAGGTCGGAGTCAGAAGGGAAAGGGTAGGAGGAGGAGAAGCAATCCGAGCACTTGCAAGTGGGGGGAGAACGATGGGGAGCCTCAGGAGAAGGGAGAGGAGGACGGGGATGCGGGACTTCTCAGAAGCCCTCGCGCCTTCCGAGAAGTTTTTATGTGTCTTCGGGGAAGGCTTAGAAGACTTTCCAGGGACTCCCGAGCCTTCTGAGAAGACCCGCCCCTTCTCATTTCCCCCCATCGCTCGCCGCCGAACCCAGCATCGAAGATGCTCAGGCGCCTTCGGCGACCGTGTCGCTTTATCGTTCGGTTTTGCTGTTCTGAAGGGGCCGACTGTCGAATTCGACTGGTGATAAAGTGCCAGCCTCGGGAGTCCCCGCGTCGGTACGCCAGACACGGCCTGACGAGTCAGCCAGGATTTCGCACGCTTGGCATCTGGATGTACGTTCAGAGTTGGTTGGCTGTGGCCGCGATAATTTGTTTTCTGAGGCAGTCCCACAGTTAAAGAGTTCTTGCTTGAGATGTTGCACTGCCGCTCTCCCCGCTGCCTTGCAGGGCCCCGCTGCCGTGCAACGTCAGGGTCCGGCCATCTACCTCCCTCTTTCGTTTTCCCCATCTTCCGCTCCCTCCGCCTCAGCGGGTGCTTCTTGCGTCCTGCGACTCGAGAAGCGAATCTGCATTCCGTGTCGTTGGCGTTCCGTTGCTACGTTTGCGCAGTTTTCGTCACCTTCGTTCCATGCTATCCTCTGTCTTCTGCTCGTCGTCCACGTCGGCTCTAGCTGCCATTGGAAAGATCGCTGCTTGCCGGCGCGAAAACACATGTCTCAGGGATATGGTGGCGAACCTGGACTCGCTGGGCGTCGTAGACGTGGGCGGCATCGTAGGCAGTCTCTATAAGACTGATGCGTTGTTGTGTTTCCTCCGTTGTTGTTACCGAGCGCAGGTCCTTCAGTTCAGGGGGCTCACGGGGGTCAGACCGGGGCAACTGCAGAGAAGAGTTAGGGTCTTGTCCTGAAGACGAACATCGCGATGGCAGGGGTGTGACATACCATGCGCGTGTGACACTTCGCCATGTTTCTGCTTGGCCCACGCAGAAACTCATCGAACTCAGCATGCCACAGGAACGCCGACAGTTATTCCGCCTTCGCCTGTCGAAACTCGTAGTGCAATTGCAGTAACTCCTGCATCAGTTGGCCGTCTGCCTGACGAGAGGCAGCCCGCGACAGAAGCCAGAGACTTTTCGCCAGCCGAGTCCACGACCTCCACCCTGGGTGTGGTATCTCAGCAGTAAACGTTCCCATAGAGCGTGAAGCCCGCACCCGCGATAGAGATTCGTGGTCCAGGCAACTTGTTTCTGATTTCAATGTTTCTCATTCTGGACGGTGCCCGTGACCGTCGAGAGGATGTTTAAGGCGACGGTCGTTTGAGACACTTAAGCAGCGCCAGCTGTGGAAGTCAGGTGCCCTCCCCTTGGCCCTTCCTCCCTTCCCCTCTCTGCCCTCACCATCCCTCCCCCCTTGCCCTCTTCTCTCCCTTCCTCCTTATCCGTCCTCACCACAACATACAGAGCTCCCTCCCCCTGTTCCTCCTCGGCCTGGACAGCGCTCGCACGTCGACTGGAGGACGCCAGAAACCCACTTTATTCGAGCCCCTTGGCTGGAAACACGTCGAGGGAGAGGCCGGCGAGTGACTGGGCCGGCAAAGGCGGCATGCATCCAAAATTTGTCCACCAGGCGGCGGGGCACATTCGCGTGGATCGGTGGGCGGGGTTCTTATCACGTGTCGGGCCCTAGCTGCCAGTTTGCCTGACCTCCCACACTGACAGGTCAACGAAACACGTTTGATTCTCCCTTTTCCCTCACGTCTCTCGGCGTCTGCTCCACATGATCCAGTCAGGGTTTCTCTTGCTCTTCGCATCCCCCTCGCGATACTTCGACCAAACAGCCGCCCCAGGCAAGGGGCTCCGCAGATGCCTCGACGAGGCTTCGTGGCCTCTTCTCTCGAGCATTCGTCATGGGCCGAAGGGAAGCGGGACTTGCGGCGAGGAGATGGATCAGAAGAAGGGATCAGGAGGAGAAGGAGGAGGAGGAGAGGGGAAGGAATAGGAGGAGGAGGGGAGGGAGGGAAGCAGTACGCGGAATAGAGAAGCGAAGGAGGTGAGGGAGGGATAGAGATAGGGAACCAGAGAAAGTTAAAACATTGAGGGAGTGGGTGGGTACGGCGGGGAGGGAGGGGGTGGTGTGAGAAAGGACGGAGGGGATGTATGGAGAGGGAAGGGAGGAGAGTAGGAAGGGAGATGAGAAGACGTCAAGCTAGGTGCGCTCGCGCCGCATCTGATTTCCTACGCCTCCCTTCCATCGCTTCCCACAGCGCTGGTTTTTGTCTCCATCCTCCGCGGACCTGGAATTTTCAACAGGGCCGCACCGTGTTACACGCAATCTGAAAAGGGGGGCTGTGTATGTTTGAGAAAGCGGGGGTGGCGCAGGAGGGGAAGGAGGACGAGGAGGAATTGCAGCAGCAGGAGCAGGAGGAGCGAGAGGAGCTAGATGACCTGGGGAAGGTGGGGGCGGGGAAAGGAAGGGGTCGACAACGACGAGGACGCACCCGGATCCAGAAATGCAGCCCGCGCTGGGGCGAGAGCGCCATACCGAACGGCGGGGGTGAGCTGCCGATCTTACACACGAGGCCACCACTACAGCGGGGGCACCATGTGCGGCAAAAAAAAGTTCGCACAGACACCCTCCACTGCACTGCTCCTGGGCCTCGGGGGAGGGTGCCGGTGTGTAAATCACCATTAAGAGCCAGCGATTTTCTACACCGCTCCTTTACCGGAAGGTACATGCAACGTTCGTCGGAGGGTGTCTGTCTATATATTTCGCGGCGTACCATGATGAATTATCGAGATTATGCGGTTTGGAAAAGCGCAAGAGAACCGGACCCGTACTTTAGTTACAGTGCAAGGAGGGTGGCGCGCCATTTCACAGGAGAGAAGAGTAGTTGTCACACTGAGCAGTTGTCTGGGAGAGGGGGAAGCGAGGAGGAGTGAGAAGGAGGGATGAAAGACGGATGCAGGGATGGGCGATGGAGGAGGGATGAGGGATGAGTTTTTGTTCGACAGGCCTTTATTCGAGCCTTAGTGCAACGACTGTAGCGAAGGGGTGAATGTGACCTTCTGCCACTTATTCAGTTGTCGGTGACGTCATCCATGGATGTTGTTCCACGCCACGCGGTTTGCTACGATCTCTCCAATATTGCAGCAAGGCGCACTGAACTTCACGGCTCGACCATCAGTGCTGTAAGAGCGGCAGAGCAGGCAGATGCGTGAAGACATTCGCCAGAGCGGTCGACCACAGTGCATTGATGATCGTTGTCTGACAGAAGCGTGTGCAACCATGACGAAAGGGACGAAAGGGACGAAAGGGGTGGAACGGGGGAGAGGAGGAGCAGCACGGATGAGGGCGGGAGGGGAGTGAGAGGAGGGAGGTGAAGGAGGAGGAATACAAGAAGGCAGATCAGGAGGAGGACAGATGAGGACAGAGGGATGAGAGTGGATGGAGGACGGGGATTAGGGAGGATGACAAACGAGTTTGAGGGCGAAAGAGGGCAGATGGATGAAGATGGAGTCGGAAAGAATACTGGGGGAGGAAGGATGGAGGGATGAGAGAGGAGGAGGAGGGAGAGTTAGGATCGTAGCAGGAGCAGCGTCAGCAGGGTCAGGAGCAGGAGTAGGAACACGGGCCTGAGCACGTGAGAAGGGACAGGGGCGTGATGACGAGGCGGAGGAATGCGGAGACAGGAGAGCATGTACAAAGGAGGTATTGAGGTAACTATGCAGGGACTGTCTGGTCGTCGGAGAGGAGAGAGGTGCATGGCCGGTTGCTTCGAGCTCGCGTCCAGAGTCCCAGGGTTTGGTTTGGCGGTCCAGTCGGGCCAGTGCCCAACATAAGCGGATGATTCACGAGGGGGCAGAGGGTTTGGGAAATTAGGAAAGGGGAGGGGATGGTAAGAGAAGGAAGGTGGGTAAGTTGAGGGAATACCCCCGCCCACACACAACATCATAAGGGTTACGAGTGGAGATGAGCGGCTGGGGCGAAGGAAAGGGCAACGTGAGGGGAGGAGGTACCGAGGAGGGTGGCCCTGTATCGTGCCGTCTGCGCATATTCGGTCCCTGATTCATCCTTGTGCCCGGTGTTATATTAATGTATCGAAGACGCCTACGGCGGATCACCGCCGCCCACTGCCTTTTCGAATCGCCCATGTGGCCGAGTGTTGCGACAAGAGCTTTGTCAAGCTATCGGACCATGTGTTCCCCCAGCCGCTGTGGAAACCCTTTGGGGAACGCTTGGAGAAGGATGGCGGAGAAGATCAGGAGGAGGAGGAGGAGGAGGTGTACGAAGAGGAGGAGGAGGAGGAGGAGGAGGAGGAGGAGGAGGAGGAGGAGGAGGAGGAGTACGAGGAGGAGGAGGAGGAGGAGGAGGAGGAGGAGGAGGAGGAGGATGGGACATCTTGGGAGCCTCTGAGGGCATCTTGGGAGCCTCTGGGGGTACTCTTGGGGCCTCCTGGGAGCTTGCTGGTAACCTTTTGAAAGCATTTTGGGGGCCTCCTTGGGCCTCTTGTTGGCCTTTGGGGACTTCCCGGGGGCCTCTTTGGCCGTCTTACTGTATTCCTGGCCCGTCAAACGCGGTCGGAAGCCGTCTTGGGGGCCTCTCTGGGCCGACCTGGGGCCCTCTTGGGGTGCCCCAGGGCCGTCATGGAAGCCATCTTGGGCGGCTTGGATGCCTCTTGGGCCGTCTTGGGGCTCCTTGGGGCCGTCTTGGGAGCCTCTTGGGCCGTTCTGGGGCCATCTTGGAGGCCTCTTGGGCGATCTTAGGGCGATCTTTGGGGGCTCTTGGGCCGTCTCGGGCCGTCGGGAGGCCGAAAAGAAACACATCCCAAAATATGTTCGAAACCTATGGAAATCAATAATTTGGGCCTCTTCGGGCCTTCCTGAAGGACCTCTGGGAGATCTCATGTGCCGTCTTGGAGGCCTCTTGAGCCGTCTTGGAGGCCTGTCGGAGGCATGCGGGGCTGTCTTGGGCCGTCTTGGAGGCTTTGGGACGAACTTGAAGGCATCTTGGACTCTCTTGGGCCGTCTTCGAGGCCATCTTGGACCATCTAGGGCGAATTTGGAGGCCATCTAGGGCGTCCTGGAGGCCATCTTGGGTGTATTAGGGGATTTGTTGCGGACGTTGTGCTCGTTTCCGGTCCCTTCCGGGTGGCCGGCGGGACGCACCGAGGCCCCAGGGAAAAGTCATTTTGGGAAAAGAGCCAAAACCGGAACCAGACCTCTTCCGCCGAGGTCCTGTTCCGCCAGTTTTGTTACGCCGGGTCGGTCCGCCAAGGTCCTGTTCCGCCCGGTCTTGTTCCGCCCGGTCTTGTTCCACCCAGTCTTGTTCCGCCAGTCCTGTTCCGCCTGTTCCGCCCCGTCCTGTTCCGCCGTCGCGAGCTCTCAAGCGGGGGCGCGCTCGCCTCCCGACGCGAGGGAACCGGGCTTCGGCGGAACCGGCCTTCGGCGGAACCGGTCCTCGGCGAAACTGGTCCTCGGCGGAAGCGCGGTCCTCGGTGGAACCGGTCTTTGGCGGAACCGGCCTTCGGCGGAACCGGTCCTCGGCGCAACCGGTCCAAGTGTGTTAGGGTGTTCGGGTGTTCGGGTGTTACGGCGTTACGGTGTTAGGGTGTTAGGGTGTGAGGGTGGAGAAGTAGTACTAGTTTGGTCCCGTCTGTCAGGGTCCGCCCGCCCGACCCGCCGTACGCCTGTTAGGGTGATACGCGTGCTACTTCGCTAATGCGCCATACGTTAATGTCCAGCCCGCCCGACCCGCCGCCCGCCCGCCCGTTCTGCTCCCGCACGCCGCCCGATTTGCCCGCCCGTTGGGGTCCGCCCGCCCGACCCACGACCTCTGGTTAGGGTGCCACGCGTGCTATCTCGACTATGCGTCATACATTAATGTCCCGCCCGCGCGACCCGGCGCCCGCCCGCCCGTTGGGGTCCCGCCCGCCGTCCGACCCGCCCGCCCGGAGGGTCCGCCTGCCCGACCCGCCGTCCGCCCGTTAGGGTGACACGAGTGCTATCTCGATTATGCGTCATATTTCAATGTCCCGCCCGCGCGACCGACCCGCCGCCCGCCCGCCCGCTAGGGTCCCGCCCGCCGCCCGACCCGCCCGCCCGTTAGGGTCCGCCCGCCCGATCCGCCGCCTGTCCGTGAGGGTCCGCTGGCCAGACCCATCCCGCCCGTTAGGGTACGCTGTGCGGCGACGAGGAGGAAGCGGAGGAGGACGAGGACAAGGAGGAGGAGGAAGAGAGGAGGAGGAGGAGCCTCTCTCTCTCTCTCTTTCTCTTTCTTTCTCCTTCTTTCTCGCGAATCGACTTCGAACCGCTAGCACTCCTCCTCGTCTTGCTCCTCCTTCTCCTCCTCCTCCTACTACTCCTCCTACTATTTCTATACTACTACTACAATTAACGCAACTGCTATTAACATTTTTACTACTACTACTATTACTACTGCTACTACTACTACTCGTACGACTACTACTACTACTACTACTACTACTACTACTACTACTACGACTACGACTACTACTACTACTACTACTACTACTACGACTACGACTACTACTACTTTTACTACTACTACTACTACTACTATTACTACTACTACTACTACTACTACTACTGCTACTACTACTACTACCACTGCTACTGCTACTGCTACTACTACTACTAGTACAAGTCCTACTACTACTACTACTACTACTACTACCCGACTACTACTGCTACTACCACTGCTGCTGCTGCTACTACTACTGCTGCTGCTACTTCTACTATTGCTACGACTGCGATTGCGACTACGATTACGACTGCGACTGCGACTACTACTACTACTACTACTACTACTACTACTACGATTGCTACTACTACTCCTAGTCCTACTCCTACTGGTAC